AGGTCCATCCATGCTGTCCCAAAGGGTACGAGATTCTTCTTCTTTACAGCTGCATAGTATTCCATGGTGTAAATGTCCCATGGCTTTTTTATCCACTCAGCTACCCATGGGCACTTGGGCTGTTTCCATGTCTTAGCTATTGTAGACTGCGCTGCTATGAACATAGGGGGGCATAAGTTCTTTCTGATGAGTGCTTCAGGATTCTTAGGATATATTCCAGAAGTGGGATTGCTGGGTCAAAAGGCAGCTCCATTTTTAATTTTTTGAGGAACCTCCATACTGTTTTCCATAGTGGCTGCCCCAGTCTGCATTCCCACCAGCAGTGTACTAGGGTCCCCTTTCCCCACACCTTTGCCAGCAGGAGTTGTTTGTTGACTTGTTGATGGAGCCATTCTGACAGGTGTGAGGTGATACCTCATTGTAGTTTTAATTTGCATCTCTCTGATGGTTAATAATGTTGAAAGTCTTTTCATATGTCTCTTGGCCATCTGTGTGTCCTCTTTGGAGAAGTGTCTATTCAGGTCCTTTGCCCATTTCTTAGTTGGGTTGTTTGTCTTCCTCTTGCTGAGTAGTATGAGTTCTTTGTAGACTTTGGAAATTGGCCCCTTATCAGATACATCCTTGGCAAATATGTTTTCCCAGACCGTGGGAAATTATTAAGTTTGTGATCCTATCTGAGGTACATTTGAGCTTCATCCTCAGTAACTTTGCCAGAATTTTTAGCTTCGCCCTAGTCTCCTAAGAACCAGATTCAGGACAAGTTAATGGCAAGGGGGATTCTGGTCCTGAAAAATAATTAAGTTCTAATTAAGTATTGAATTTCTTTGGGTCAGTTGACCTGTATCTTCTGTAAAGAAGGATGTGCTAAGAGGAGCATTTATCTTGCTAGAGATCATGTCAACCCCTGGCTTTCATGAGGAGAGGAAGTTGGGAGGAATTGGTCACTAAGAGAATGCTGGTTGAAAGTATCCATTTAGCCAGGCTGATATTATAAACATATTAATTCTAATAATCAGGAAAAGATTATATTGTACCTTCTTCCAAAAATTCTTACAGGATGATTCCTGAAGAGTTGCACCTAGAATTATACCTGTGACTGAATCCTTCCTACTCCTAGGTCTTCTAACTTGCTTCTGTCTCAGTCCATTGTTTGTCTGGATTGGGAAGATTGATCGAGGACAGAAAATATGGATGTCATGGGTTTTTAAATACACTTTATTTTTTAGAGCTGTTTTAGGTTTTTTAATTTATGCATCCCTTACATGAAAATAGTCTTATTAGAAAAAAATGATTGTTTTAATACTCAGATATATTTTTAAACTTTTCGAGACTGACAGAAGAGTTGCAAAGAAACAACAGAGTTCTCTTACAGTGTCCACCTGGATTCCTCCAGTATTGAAATCTTACATAACCATTTATCAATCACTCATCAAAACTAGGAAATTAATATTTGTATAAAACTATTAACTACTACAGCCTTTTTGGATTTCACCAGTTTTTTCCAACTAATGGTCTTTTT